ATTACTTTGTTGTTGTTCTGTCGATGTTTTTATTTCTTCTTGTTTAAAAGTGGACGGTGAAATAAGATACCATTTAATCTCCGACCCGTTAAAATTTGTTGAAGTGGTAACAATGGAGTTTTTGCTCCCAGAATAATACCTCCCCAGAACATTACAGTTGCTCCTTTAGATCTTGGTACAGATTTGGCAGCCTGAAGTCTCGCTCGTCTTCCTGGGGCTTTGAAAACCCGAACCGAAAAAGGAACATTTTGCCAATTCTCAGCTGTTCAGTTTTGATGTTGAAGGCATCAATTTAGTCGGTCAATTTTATTTTGCCGAGATAAGCCCACGGCCACACAGAAAGCGTTTTTAGCGTTTTGCGTTTTTTGCGTTACAAGCGTTTTTTGCGATTTTACTGTTTTAAGCGCTTTTTCCGATTTGTGTCCATTAAAATCACGCAAAAGGCGCGGCAGGTCTGCAGTTTCTATCAATAATGTCAATTAGTAACGTCGCAAGCTCGTGGATTCCCGGCCCGTCCAACAATCAATCCTGTGAGAAAGAGATAGGCGAGATCGGCGCTGTTAGCGTTGAAGAGACGAAGATAAAAGATACTGGGATTGAATTGTGGACGGGCCGGGGCTTATATTCGAAGACAAACACAATCTACTGCTAGTACCAGTGGTGTGTGTAAAAATAATTATTATTATTTGCCATTTAGTTTAGGAATTTTAGTTTATATGTGCATAGTTTTTTTATGTTGTAGTGTTGTGGTTAGTACTTGTTATAATTATAATATAATAAATAATTATAATTATATAATAAAATAGTAAATATCTCTAGTTGCTAATGCAATTTTAGGAAATTATTTATGAAACATTTTGGAGTGAAATTTCTTTACGCGCGCTGGGAGTAAAAATTCAAAGCCGTGACATACGAGCTAGTGAGACGACCCTGACACATGCGCTCGTTGTAGCGAAACGTGTTTACGGCTTAGAAATACGTAGTGACGCGACGTGCATTTGTGAGCAGTCCACGTGTTCATCAAAAACATTGATATTTTAATACAAATTTTGTAAAAGTGAACCAAATTATTACGGGTAAAAAAACATTTGTTACACGTAAAAAACTATTTTTTACGCGTATAAAACTATTTGTTACTGGTAGAAAACTATTTTTTACGCGTATAAAACTATTTGTTACTGCTAGAAAACTATTTTTTACGCGTTTAAGACTATTTGTTACGTGTAAAAATCTATTTGTTACACATAAGAAACTCTTTTTTACTCGTCAGATACTTATTGTTTCTGATAGAAAACCTTTCTTACGCAAAAAAAAATACTTTTACGTGTAAAAAACTATTTACTACGCGTAAAAAACTAATTTTTACGCGTCAAAAACTTATTGTTTCTGGTAAAAAAACTTTTTTACCGAAAAAAAAATATTTATTACGTGTAAAAAACTATTTGTTACACTTAAAAAATTGACTTTTTACGCGTCAAAAACCTATTGTTTCTGGTAAAAAACCTTTTGTTACGCAAAAAAAAATGTTTTTTACGTGTAAAAAACTATTTGTTACACGTAAAAAACTATTTTTTACGCGTATAAAACTATTTGTTACTGGTAGAAAACTATTTTTTACGCGTATAAAACTATTTGTTACTGCTAGAAAACTATTTTTTACGCGTTTAAGACTATTTGTTACGTGTAAAAATCTATTTGTTACACATAAAAAACTCTTTTTTTACTCGTCAGATACTTATTGTTTCTGATAGAAAACCTTTCTTACGCAAAAAAATACTTTTACGTGTAAAAAACTATTTACTACGCGTAAAAAACTAATTTTTACGCGTCAAAAACTTATTGTTACACGTAAAAAACTATTTTTTACGCGTAAGAAAATATTCCTTTAATTTATTACTTTTTCAACATTTCAAACTACACTTTTTCAAACATTTCCTTCAAATTTTTGAATTTAATAGAATCTTCCTAAACAGTAGATGTTCTTTATAAAAATATTTTTAGATAATACCCTAAAATGAAAAAAAATGCATACTATTTAATTTATTTTTATTTTATTATTAAATATAACATCCGCCTATGACTTAGAAAACGCTAAAGACGCTACAGAAAACAAACTGATTTGTTTTCATTTGCGTTTTTTGCGAGACACGCCGAACGCTACACGCTTTTGGTGTGGCCACTCCTATATAATCCTGTTATTTTGTTTTAGACGCTAAAGACGCTTCACGCTAAAAACGCAAAAAACGCTTTCTATGTGACCGTGGGCTAACTGTGGGATCCGTAACTCTCTCCTACTGTAAAACCCTCGTGCATACAGCCTTTTTCTTAAGGTTTCAACTGAAACGTTCACACTTGTAGCTGCCAGAAGTTGTCTTTGTAGCTCTGAATGGGAAACATTGGGATTTATTCTAGCAATTTAGCACACAAGGCGGTCTTGTTGTTCAGTTCTTGCCTATCTTTGTGTGTTCCTAATTCAAAGTATCTTGCATATGTTTTCGATACAACACCCTGGGTAACGCCTACTATCTCTGCTACGTCTCTCAGCGTTAAATTTTATGGACGTGATCCATTTCATTTCTGAAATGAATCAACAGAATATTCAGAAACCAAACAGAAACAGACTTTTCAAATATTAAAATATTTTTTATTTAAAAAATGGTCAAGTTTCCAAAAAAACGCTTAAACACGTATATTTTATTTTGTTTTTTTACATATTTTAAGATATTTTAAAAATGTGTACAGGGTGTTTCGGAAAATCTGGTCATTGATTAATCACGATCCTGCTTAAAGCGCTTGACGTAAAAAGCGCTTAAACACATATATTTTATTTTGTTGTTTTACATATTTTAAGATTTTTTATAAATTTATACATAAAATATGACCATTGGGTAATCACGATTCTGCTTAAACTGCTTGACATTTAAAGCTGTTTTTTGGCAAACGGATTGACTGTGGGGTGTAGAGGTTCGATAAGGAGGGGTTTCTCGAATCTCAAGTTCCAAGAGGGTGAAAACGCCCCTCAAATATTACAATATCTGTTATTTAAAAAACGGTTAGTCTTTCGGGAAAACGCTTGGACAAGCATAATTTATTTGGTTTTTTTACATATTTTGAAATTTTTTAAAAAGTCATACAGGGTGTTCCAAAAAGTTGGGTAATTTCTTAACCACGATTCTGCTTAAACTGCTTGACGTAAAAAGCTTATTTTTGGCAAACGGATTTTTTGAAAGTCAAATTCCAATGAGATGAAACTACCCCTCAAATATTACCAATATATAATAATATCGCCATATTGTTTTTTCTCATGCTGACATAAATGTGAGAAAATTTTATCCAGTTTGTATGTTAATGGAAATTCTTGCTTCTGCTTTATCATCGCCATTACAAATGATTAATTCGGCGCGAACGAAGTCGCTATAGTAAGAAATAGGACTTGATCTATTTTTTCTTTGCCTTCGGTAATTACACCCTTATAATTCCCTTGATACACAAATAACTATTTTTGTCTCATATATAATTTCTCTAAAAAATCAACAAAACACGATTATTTCTTTACATTATCTTCCCAAATAAAACCTCTCTAACAAAGTGTTTTGATTGTCTCGAATCCCGAAGCCGCGGCAATCCATCTTTGCCTCGCGGCCTAGCGCGAGCTTTAACATGATTGAAAAGCATTATTTATCACCGTGAAACATGCTTAATTAACCGCCGGGCGGAATTTATGGGTGTCCGTCAATGCGGAGGTCCATCGGACCCGTAGCTTTTCGGTTGATTGATTGTTGAAGTTTTATATAGCAAATTAGAGGTGCTTATTGAATGTTTTCTCGGTAAGATTTGTTGTTCGTGGGCTTGGAATAAAATAAATTATTTCTGTGATATATGTTGATATTTTTTCTTATTATAGCTTTATCAAAATCAGAGAACCAAGCATAGATATTCACAGGGTATACTACAGAAGGACAAAAATATATATCAAAATGTTCCTTTGAACATATGCTTTAACCCTTTATAGATTGATGGTCGCTAAATCGACCACTTTAATTTAACCCACTAATCAGTCGCGTGGAAGTGTATTATCGCCCAGTTTGTTTGCTATGCTTATTTCTATGCGGATTTTAGCCGTTTAATTAACCATATTTATGCGTTGGCCGAATTGGCGCGAAAAGTTATCGTAAGCGGTTGAATATTCGACCAGCGAGCACTGGTCACACTGAGTTCGCTCTGTATCATATAGATAATAATTGTCGTATTGTAAAGCGTTTTCTATGCAAATTTCGTGTGATAAAAATTTAAAAATACAGAAACAAAATGTATCTGTGACGTTTATTTCTTTTTATTTTGTGCACCAAATTTACGGCCCCGATGATATTTTCTAAAATCGTTAACATATCCTGTATATTTTCGATCATTTTTCATAGGATGCGAGTTTCTCGAAATGCAAAAATCGATTTACTTGATTTGGGCATATTTTTGAGTAAAGTGCTAACAGAGATAATCAAAATCAACTTACTCTTTTTTCTTACATTGGATGATATACGATCCCACTCATTTATTTGTTAACTTTTTGAAAAATTTTATTAAGAAGATATGCTCCCTTTGTGCTTATTTATATATTATTTAAGCCAAACTAGAAAATAATTAGTACTGCCCTATAAAGGGTTAAGACGCCTTCTCTAACGTGAGAGCCCTTAAATGTGAATAATAAAAATAATGTATATTGTTGATTTTTAAGAACATTGGTGAATCGTTTTCCTTGAAATTTCGTACACTTACAAATATTTTAATGCCAAAGCAAATAGCAATAATGTTAAAATTCATACTAGTTCTGAAAAGATACTTTTAGTTAGAAGAGAAGTTAGTCTCTCATAAAACTTTTTTTACTTAAATAAATAAGAAAAATAAAAAAATAATTTATATTTCTATTGTTTATATTGAAGATTTTGTGAACAGAAGCTTATTTATAGTATTTGTGTCATATAATTAAAATAAATAAATCTTACCTTCTGATATAAGTCTTTCTCTAATTTCCCAAGCGAAAATTGTAGGATTTTCCCTCTTATATTGTTCTATTTTAGAAACTACAGCTGGTGTTGCTACCTTTGGTTTGCTCCCTCCTATCAGGCCTGGCGGTCTTAAGGTTCCTGCAACAATTATATTTATTTAATAAAATGTTTTAAACATTTGAGATTTATCAAAAATATCGGAGGTGAAAAAGAAAGCTGGCCGTTTATTTAAAATACCGTATGATTGAAAAAAACGTCGTCGAAGAGGGCTGTGAAATGACAATCGACGATAATATGGCGTAGTGATGGGTTGTTATTTAACTATCTGTTATTTTATAACAATTATTTATAAATAACATAACGCAACCGTTACTACTTCTAAAAGATCGGCCGCTCGTGAAACAAAAAACGAAGTCGGCGCTCTGCACCGCCATGAAATTTTATGCTGCTCGAAGCAATTCCAAAAAACAACTAGTATGGATGGAAAACATGTTATTTCGTCAACCATCGATACAGGCGGCGAGACAACGGACAACGGAGTGGGGAATGCGCTACGGCGAACGTAGCTGCTTCGGCCGATGCCGTCGATGGTCGTATCGGGCTTACAACAGCTTAAAAATAATAGGATATAAAAGAAGCAGGTTTCTTGAAACAGTTGCGGGCATAACGCCTGGCGGTCGAGATAACAGGAGTAGGAAAGGAACGCTGCTGCATCGGTCGGTTGTCGATGGAAGCTCGCAACGGGTTGGAGAAGCAGTCATTTTAGATACCTACGTTGTTTTTCAACCTGTTACGAGCATAACAGGGCGGCGGTCGAGATAATCGGAGTGGGAAAGGAACGCTGCTGCATCGGTCGATTGTCGATGGAGGTTCGAAACAGGTTGGAGAATAACGCATCAGTTGTTTTAGATACGTTGTTTTTTTAACCTGTTACGAGCATAACAGGCGGAGGTCGAAATATTATGGCGCTGTATGTTTCAGTACTTACTTATTAAGTTTCAATATTTAGGTATTTATTTATTCTGCAAAATTTTCAGAATAATATTTTAAGATTTTTTAAAAATGTATTCAGGGTGTTTTGAAAAATCTGGTCATTGATTAATCACGATCCTGCTTAAAGCCCTTGACGTAAAAAGCTGATTTTTGGAAAACGAATTGACTTTAGGGTGTAGAGGTTCGATAAGAAGGGATTTTTCGAAACTCGGATTCTAAGGGGTGAAACTACCCTCAAATATTAGAATATTTTTTTATTTAAAAACCGATGAGTTTTTCGGAAAAACTCTTAAAACACGTATATTTTATTATGTTGTTTTACATATTTTAAGATTTTTTAAAAATATATACAGGGTGTTTCATAAAATATGACCATTGAGTAATCACAATTCTGCTTAAACTGCTTGACGTTTAAAGCTGATTTTTGGCAAACGGATTGATTGTGGGGTTGAGGTTCGATAAGGAGGGGTTTCTCGAATCTCAAATTCCAAGAGGGTGAAAACGCCCCTCAAATATTACAATATTTGTTATTTAAAAAACGGTTAGTCATTCGGGAAAACGTCTGGACACGCATAATTTATTTTGTTTTTTTACATATTTTGAAATTTTTTAAAAAATCATACAGGGGTAACCCGCAGAGGAATTATGGTGTACACTATGAAGGAATTCTACAGAAATTCCAAGGAATTACGAGGAATTCCTAGGAATTCCTAGGAATTCCAATGATTTCCGTAAGAATTCCGATGAATTCCAAGGAATTCCTTAGGAATTTAGAGGAATTCCACAGGAATTAAGAGGAATTACAAGCAACTTTATAAAAAATTAACGAACATTAGTAGACCATGAATACTAGAATAGGTAGTACTGAATTTAAAGAAAAACGTTTTGCAGGCGATTTTTTACTATCTGTTTTTCGTTTTCGAATCGCTTCCAAAATTTCCTAATATCAAATATCTACAGGTTAGATATTCTTTTAATTTAATATTGTACCCTCGATTATATATCTAAAATATATTCCAATAGTACGGCAGAACCACCCCCGAGAGATCTACTTATAACGTTCCCTGATTTCGCCATTTTAAAGAAACCCTCATAAGATTTTTTTTATTCACTCATTTTATACTCAGAAAGTTTGTTTTATTAATTTCCTTTCCTATAGATACAACTAGGTACCTATCATTTTCAAAAAATCCCGAGAAAAATTAATTTTAATAAGTAAGTGCCGACATATTTCCAGTATTTTCACCTCATGATCCCCTATTAGTCCTAAAATTTAACTAAAAAACGTAAATCTCGTAAAAGTACTTTTTATTGTTAGATCTAGTACTTATAGAGACATTAGACATTTATAAAAATCACGAGAAAATTCATTGCGGAACTGCGAAACCGAGGTGGCAACGCTGATTCAGACTGAAAGAGTTACCGAGTTCGTACCAAGGAATTCTAAGGAAGACCTTGAATGATTGACCTTGACCTTGAAGACCAAGGAATTCCAAGGAATTCCGAAGGAATTACGAGGAATTCTGAGGAATTATTTGAGTAAAAGGAATTACGGTGTACACTTTTCCCTCTGCGGTTTACCCCTCGATACAGGGTGTTTGCTCAACCAAAAAGTTGAGTAATTGATTAACCACGATTCTGCTTAAACTGCTCGACGTTTAAAGCTTATTTTTGGCAAATGTGAGAAAATTTTATCCAGTTTGTATGTTAATGGAAATTCTTGTTTTGCTTTATCATCACCATTAGAAATTATTAATTCGACGCGAACGAAGTCGCGGGTACACGCTAGTTTAAGTGTAAAATTAATTCGAATTCTAGTGTGTAGTTGGTTTACTTATAAAGAATATACTACACATTTTCTTATATTGCTATTTTTTGACCGCAAATGGTAAAATCATAACTAAGAGCTTCTCGCCCGTCGAGTGAGATGCACCCTGTACACTGCTACGCAATTTAGGATCTACGCGGATCGAGGAGCAGGGTGTAGGTAGATCGGAATGGTTGTATAGACGAGTGGCGGAATTTTGGCTTTTTTTATATCGCAATTTGTAAACAGCGCTTATTTGTAAACAACCACCGTTTTTAGAGAGGTATTTTAGATAACAATCGATATTTAGAAATGTTTTGACACCCTGGAAATACTACCACCGAGCACGTCATTGTTACTCTTCTCAATTTTTTAATGATGTAACTTGCAACTGCGTTAATACGCCTGGCGGTGACCGCCTCATACTCTTTCAGATATTTAGGAGTAAAATAAAGAAACCTGTTATTTTTAAGCTGTTATTTTAAGCTGTTTTTTATAAATATCTATAACAGTTTCAACTGTTATCTAAAAATAACAGTTTTGCCCATCACTAATATGGCGAGGCCATTCTCTAGACATTATTCACTAAAAATTGACATAATACTTAACATATAAAATAATTGCATTACTCTTAAGGCCATCTGGCAGTAAGTGCCATTAAAAAATTGAGAAGAGAACGGGCCTAGTAATTACGTCTAGAACTTGACTTTGCCAACATTATCATCGATTTCATTCCCCAGGCATCTTTGACGACGTTTTTTTTTCTCGATAGTATGGTACTTAATTGTATGTATGTATTTTCGATTGTATGGTATTTAAGAGATACATTAATAAAATGTCTAACCATAGAAAAGTAACGTCATAGGAACTACAACTATAAATAACCAAACCCCCATCTGAGTTCAAAATTCTTCCCCGAAAAGTGTTCACAACAACTAACCGATGAACATACCATCATAAATTGTGCCATATGTTCAAAAACGCTGCAAAAAACACGACATAAACTCGTAAACAAGGAGTTGTTATCGTACTGCGCCCGGCAAACAGGCGAATTTATCTATGGCCTAATTAACGACAAGCATGACATCTTACGTCTCGTTATGTAAATGTGGTCAGTCAGTATAACTGGCACTCGCTAAACAGTAGCTTCCGGTGTCGCTGGCAACATTGTTTTTCTACTAATTGGACGATAAATATATCTTTTTTGGCGAGGTACAAAAATACGCAGCAGGGTGGTAATTTGACAAACGTATTTTATGTATTTCTCCGTTGTAAGTTGAGCCATTTCCGTTTTCTGCTAATTACAAGCCTAAAGATTGCGCAGATAAATTAGCCCGACATCATGTAAATCAAGTGCTTTTAAAAACTTGGAAATTTATTACTGTTTCTGTTGCTTTTGTTGTTACTATTGATTTATTGATCTTGTTACAGGTTATAAAAATTTCAGTATGTAAAAAACTGCATACAGGGTGGGTAAGGTCTGGATATCTTCCAACCATATTTATTTATTTTGTGATTCATAAGTCTAGACTACTGGTTTTGCAGGCAAACAACAATTTGCTAAAGCCACTTAATATTTGAAAAACATTTACAGATAGATATAGGACATTTTACATTAAATATATGTAGAATTTTGCAAAGAATCCAAAAGTTGATTAATATAAAAGGTGTGTATTTAAAATAAGAAAGTTAATATTGGCCACTGTTACACGACACACCCTGTATAAATAATTTCTATTAATAAATTGTACTGAAGCTGTGGTTGGTTCCTTGTGAAACATCGTTGAAATATTAGTATTTTAATAAAGCACGCTTTTTAACATTATTAAATATGTTGTATATAAAAAAATGTAAATATGTTAAATATAAAACGTTTTTTAACATTATTAAATTCAATTAACCCGAGAATACAATTTGCAATTGAAAAAGGTATTAATACCATCAATTTTCTTGATGTTACAATTATAAAACAGTCTAATAGATTATAATTTGATATTTACAGAAAACTCACTACCACAGACACTGTAATACATAGTCAATCACACCAATCCTGGCAAATCAAAATGTCACCCTTTCATAGTTTAATTCATAGATTAGTAATGTTTCCACTGAGCCCAGAGAAATTTAAAAAAGAGTTAAATATTATTAAACAAATCGCCATCAACAATGGATATAAGTGTTAAGAAAAAACAAAAGAAAATATTAATGAAAAATTTTTATTCCGCTAATTCTAAAGACAATAACAATTATCGACTTTTAAACTACATTCCTAATTTAACTAACAAAATATCAAATAATCTCAATAAAATAGGATGTAAAACTATTAACGTAAATAAAAGAAATTTAGGTCAAAT